GTGAGAGCAAATGACCCAAGTAAATGGGACGTCCGCTCAAATAAATGTCCTACCTGCTTATATATGTATGTATGTTTGTATGTACATATTTATGTTATGTACGGTGTATGGTATAGGGCAGTGTTTAGTCGAGCAACTGCAATCATTTTATATTTATTTATTTTGATAAGACATATGTTGTTATTGTTGTAACTGTTTTGGGCAGCCAGCAAATGGGCAGAGGTTGCTGCTGCACACTTGGCTATTCCTCGTATGCGTAGCACAGTGTGAATGTGAGTGTGCATGTTTTTGTCTCTCCCTCTCTTTCTCTGTCTTTCGTTCTATATGTGTGCATTGCATTAGTGTGTTTGATGCGTTGCAATGTAATCAGTTTTTAGCTTTATCAGCATAGCTCGATGACTGTACTAAATTAAACAAAAAAATAAAGTAAAGCAGCAGAATAACCGAACAGAACAGCTCGGTACATGGCTGTCTTATACGTTCTTATTAAAATAAAGTAATTGCCGTGACTAGGAAATAATTAAATTCACTACTATGCGCAATTAGACGAATAGCCTGAAGAACTCTCTAATGCACATAATTACATATATACCACATGCATAATATGTATGTATGTGTATGCATGTGAAGACACGCACATACATACATATGTATTTACCTAGGGCCTTACTGTCCGAACTATGTATGTACATATACATATGTATGTATTTATACATATTTATGTATACTGCTGTTGCTTGCCACATGCTATTGCATAATGGACATGCTTAAAACTAATTAACGCAAAAGCAACGCCGGAACCGAATCTGTTTACTCCCCCGCTTTACCTCTCGTTCTCTGACACTCTTGCGTTAACTATCTCGCTCTGGGACGCGCTCAATCTCTGTCTCTCTGTCTCTCTCTATCTCTGCCTCTCCCTTTTCCACTCTCTCTGTGTGCGTTCCCCTCTTCATTCGCTTGTGGTCGTTATTCTACTGCTCTGTTTGCCTGATATTCGCGTCTGCTGCTTGTCTAGGCCGTAGCAGAACGGCAGCAGCAAAAAAAAATTATTTATTACTCATTAGCACGCAAGGCGGCAGCAGAGGCAGCGGCAACGGCAATGGCAGGCAGCGCAGCGGCGTTGACGACTTTTGCCATCTTTAGCTCATTTATTAAGAATAAGCCCAAGCGGCACACGCCCAGCAAACACACACATACACGCACACTCAGAACTTTTTCATTAAAATTTCGTTTTTATTATTTCGTCACTCATTAAGTTGGCCATTGCGGACTTCTGTGCCTCCCCTATTGTCTTTTATGGCTTTTGTTGTTGTACGTTAACTGTTTTAGTCGCATTGGTTCACTAGTTAACTTCTTTTTCTGTTTTTCTGCCGCTGCTGGTGAAGTTGCCCTGTGCCCTGGCCGAACGCTCGACGCTGATTGGAAAGTTCTGTCTGCATTTTCAGCAGCGACGTCCGCCGGTGACGCGTTTCTTTCGCAGCAGCAGCGGCTGCTGCTACTGCTGCTGCTGTGGTTGCTGCTGCTGCTACTACTACTGCTGCTTCTGCTGCTGCTGCTGCTACTGCTTGCTTCTGTTGCCTGTCTGCTGGCTGTGGTTTTCTGTGCGCCTGATACTGTGCGCCGAGTTAATTGGTTTGCAAACAAATTAACCAACGTGGGTGTGTACGTTTCCTAATTAGCAGCTTTTGTAATTAAATATGCCCGCAGCCACTCACACACAAACGCTCACACACACACAC